TCTTAATATTAAAGGATTAGTGATAGCCTTTGGATGTTTTTATAATGCGATTTCTGTTTTCAGTCAAAATATTTAACACTTAAATTACTGAAGTAAGGCAATTGTTACTCAAATAATTATGAAAACTGAAGACTGTAAGAATTCATAATAATTTGGAATCTTCCAGAACAGGAAATCAAATATCTTCAACGCTCCGTATTTTTTTTTCATGCTCAGTGTACATTTTGCTTAAGGGTTGCTGCTCATAGAACTGCTTGGTTTCAAAGATGCTCTCTAAAATTCTGTTTAATAGCAGGCACTGTGTAAGCAAAATAATGCAGTGCTATCCTTCAGTAGTAGAAGAAAAATGACAACTGGATGCTGGCTATAACTAAATATAGGCAGAAGAAAGATTGTTTTTATATATTTACTATGTTTAGTTTATTTACATTATTGAAAAATGGACTATTTGATTTTAATGCACTGGGATTTTGTATATTTAGTTATGTTTATCAAGTGGGTATTTTGTTTAGTGAAAAAATGTGGAAATTCATAGCTCACTCAGGCAAATAAAGAGCTTACAGCAAAATAAATTAAAAAGTACAAATTATAGGTGATCAGAAGTAACAAAATTTTCACCATCAAAACTCAAAACTGCAAACCACGTTCATTATAGACAAAATTATGCTCTAGGAAAAAGTCTTAGAGACCAATATTTCTTTGCAAACAAGAACTATATATACTATTCAAACCCCAAGTAAGAGAAGCTATCAGATTGTAATAAAAGAAGCTAATTCATCAAGAAGATATTTCAATTGTAAATATGTACCCAACATCAAGGAATGTAAATAAATAAACCAAGAATTAAGGGATATAACGAGACAATAGATTGCAAAATTAGAAATTTTAATACCCCATTTTCAACAATACACATAGTCAGACATAAAACCTTTAAGGAAACATTAGACTTGAATGACACTTTAGACCAAACATATCCAGAATATTCTATCAAATACTTGTGGAATAATTATTCTCCTCAAGTTCATATAGAACACTTTTCAGGCTGTATCACAGAACATGTTTAACAAATACAAGAAGATTGGAATCATATAAAATATCTTTTCTAGGCATATTGGTATGAAATTAGGAAGCAAAGATAAGAAGAATCAAGAAAATTAATAAATATTTATAAATTAAATGTTTCCAAACAACAATTCTATTGAAGAAGAAACTAAAGGGCAAATTTTAAAATTTCTTGAGATAAACGAAAATGAAAACACAATATACCTAAATTTAAGGTTAAAGAAAATTTAAGGGTTCAAGGCAGAGCAATTCTAAAAGGGACATGTTTGTGGCTCAGGCCTGTAATCCCTGTACTCAGGAACCTGAGGCAGGAAGATTGCCATGAGCTCAATGCCAGCCTGAAATTCTGTTTCAAAAAAAAAAAAAAGGACATTTTTATCCGCAAATGCCTATATCATGAAAGAAAAAGATCTCAAGTAAACAGCCTAACCTTATATCTCAGAGTACAAGGAGAAAACAATCCCATCTATAATAGTGTCAATAATAATGGGGAGTAAATTTAACCCAGGAAGTGAAACAAGCCCTATAAACTGAAAACTAAGTAAAAATTCAGTAGAAGTATGGAAAGATAAAGATTAGGGAATAAAGAAATGGAAGAAAAACAAAAGATCAATGAGACTAAATTGTTTCTATAAAACATAAGCAAAACTGACAAGCTCTTAGCTAGAATATTTGAGTCTCTCGTAGGAAAAAATCTAAAATAAAACAGAAAACATTACACCCAGTAACACAAACGCAAACAATCACAGGAGACTCCGATTAGCACTTGCTGTACACAAACTGGACAATCTAGGAGAAATGGCTAAATTCTTGAAACATGTAACCAATATGACTGAATTAGGAAGAAATCAAATATCTGAACAAATCAATAATGATCAAGGGGATTAATCACTAACTAAAAGTCACAAATGGTTTAATAGTAGATTTTTTGGGGGGTGCCGGGGATCAAATTCATGGCCTCACATTTGTTTGCCAAGCAGGCACTTATGCCTGCTGAGCTAAACCCCCAGCCTGTTGACAGCTGAATTCTTCCAGCCATTGAAAAAAGACCTAGTATCAGTCCTTCTCAAACTCTTCCAAAAATTGAAAAGGAAGGGATATTTCCAAACTATTTTACAAAGCCAACATTACCTGACACTAGAGCCAAAAGCACTACCAGAGGAGAAAAGCAGAGGTCAATATCCCTGCTCAATACAGATTCAAAACCCTCAACAAACCCTAGCAATAACACATTAAAAGAGCTATTCACTCTGATTAGTTGGGGTTCATGTTGTCTGGGTTTAAACACATGCAGACCATTAAATGTGATTCATTTGAATGGAGACTAAAACCAATAAGACCATTTCAGTAAAAGCAGAAAATGTACTTGATAAAATTTAGCATCTTTTATGATAAAAAAGACAACTTACATATTGAAGGACTATTCCTCAGTATAATAAAGGCCACAGATTAAAAACTAACAGCTAACATACTCAACAGTGAGAGGTGAGGCCTCTCCTCCGTGCCTAGAAAGGAGCAAGACAAGAATGCTCACTAGCACCACTTCTGTCCAGCCCCATCCTGCAGTTCTAGCCACAGCAGCTAGTCAACAAGAGGAGAGAAACGGCACCTAAGTAGGAAAGGAAAGAAGTGAAATCATCTGTTTGCTGACCACATAATTTTATGTGTAGAACATCCCAAAAAACTTTTCCACATCGCTATTAGAACAGTTAAAGGAATGCAGTAAAGTTACAGGATAGAATGTCAACTTACAAAAATATTAACATTTTGATACAATAAGCTGCTATCTGAACAAAAATCTCTACAATAGCATCAAAAGTGGCAGCAGTAAATTTAGGCAAGAAATATTAGGTATGTATACTGAAAATTACAAGACATTGATGAGAGAACTGAAAATAATAGCAATAGTGAAAAGTCACGCCGTGTCCATGAATTGAATAAATATCATTAAATGTCCATACGGCTCACAGTGAGCCTCAGATTCAATACAATCCCATTAACATAACCAATGGCATTCTTTGAAAAACAACTCTAAACCTCATATGGAAAGAAAAAGACTTTGGTGAAAGCAATCTTGAGAATAAAAAGCTTTAGACATTACACTGGTATATTTTAAATATATTATAAAATCCTGTCATGCAAGCAACACAGTACCTGCATAAATGCAGAAACATGGACTAGGATAGAGCTCATAATAACACGCACGCACCTGTGGTCCACCGATTGTCCACAAAGGTCCCAAGAATGTGTAATGCAGAAAAAATAGTCCTTCAGTAAATGGTGCTGGAAAACTGGACTGCCACATACAGAAGAATGAAAACGGGCTCTTGCCTCAAATTTTACATAAGAATTAATTAAAATGGATTAAAATGACAATATAAGGCCTTAAATCATAAAACTACCAAAATAGAAACAGGGGAAACTCCACGGCATCGGTGTGGACAGAGGGTGCAGTTAGAGCAAAAGTGAACAGCATCAAATGAGACTGCACAAAGCTGAAAAGTTCCTGCGCGGCAGAAGCAGCACTGAGAGCGAAGACACAACCAACAGACTGCGAGGAGCTGCTCCCAAATCACACCCCCAGAGCAAAGGGTGGCATCACATACGCAAGAAACTCAAGGGACTCAAAAGAAGAAACCTAGTAACAGTATCAAAATGGGCAAAGGATGGGAATAGATGCTTCTTGGAAGAAAACATACAATGCAGATGATCAACAGGTTTATGAAAAATTCTCAACCCCCTGCCCTGCCCAGGGTTAAGAACTGTATTCAGGAACTTGCTCATATTAGCAAATGCTCTGCCCCTGATCCAGTGTTCACAATCTCCAAACATCATACATACAAATTAAGACCACAATGAGCTATCACCTCACACGTACTCAACAGCTGAAAGACGAGAAGTTTATCAAGGAGGTGCAGGGAAAGTAACACTTGCATACTATTGGTAGTATTACAAATCAGTACAGAGATACTCAAAACCTAACAGTAGAACCACCACGTGACCCAGCAATTGTATTTCTGGGTATATGCCAAAAGAAATAGAATCCAGTGTGCATTTCTGTTTTCATTGCTCAGAATATCCAAGAATTATCATGACATTTAGATACACAGCAGAATACTATTCAGCCTTTAAAAAGCAGGAGATTCTGTCATTCACTAAAATATGGGTAGACCTGGAGGAAATTATGCTGGCTGAAATCAGTCAGGCACAGATGGATAAATACTGCACAATCTCACATACATGTGGAATCCATAAAAACCATGTAAGCATGAAGAGAAGAGAATGGGAGTTACCTGAGGCTGGAGTGGGACAGAAGAGATTTGATCAGGAAAGAGGGGAGGGTGGGTACAAAGGCGTAGTTAGGGGAATAGGTTCTGGTGGTCACACAGCACTGCAATCACAGTTAACAAAATCATTTTGCATATTTCAAACTACCTAGAAGAATGGGTTGTAAATGTTTTCACCACAAAGAAACAGTAAGCATTTGAGAGATGGATGATAACTCACCCAGTGTGATCACCCCACAATGTGTAATGTAAGACACTATCCTATTTTGCCTCATAATGTATCATTTATCAATTGAAAATAAAGCAAAGACAAAAACATCTGAGCATGTAGTGGGCACTCGATGAATATCAATTGGCAGCAAGATTAGTGGACCATTCACTTTCTAGCAAGGATGTGTGGAGCATCATCCAGCACCAGGCTTATACTGAACACTCGGCACCTGCTCCTGTGTGGAGCACACAAACTAGTGTGAGACAGAAGTAAACAATGAGTCTAAAGAAACCTGGAACGGTAAAATACGTTACATGGCAAACTTGAACATGAACAGGAAAAGAGAACAGGGCAGGAGAATCGGGAGCTGCTGGGGCAGCGTGGCGAGGACAAGCAGGGTGGTCCGGGAAGAGCACACCTCGGACTGCATTTGGACTTACCTTGAGTTTGCAGCCTTCGTTCTGACACAGCTTCCTGACAAGGGCGCCGATTACAATCATAACAGTCTCTCTGATATCATTGCTCCCAAAAGAACCTTTGAATTTCCCCTGCAAGCCAAGTGGAGACAGCAAAGTTTCACCAAGACATTTAAACATTTGCTAGGGGCACTTATGATGAAGGATGAGGTAACCAACGACAGGGAAAAGGCTTTCATGTTCATTACTGTTTCAGATTCTCAGATAGGGTTCTTTTCCAAAAAGAATATGAGCTATTCAAATAGATCATAAATGGACAAGTATTTAAAAAATCATGGACTCAAGAGAAATGTAATTCTTGGCTCCAATATAATATTTAAATATTGGAACAACAGAATCCTTTCAATGTATTATGTGTAAATACCATGAAAAAAATTTTGAGGGGGGTTCTTTTTGAGACAGAGTCTTGCCATGCAGTTCAAACTGGCCTTGAGCTCATTTTGTAGTCTAGACTGGTCTCAAACTTGCAATAATCCTCCTGCCTCAGCCTCCAGAATATTGGGATTACAGGTATGTGCTATCACACCTGGCTACCACGAAGATTTTTAAAGTTCCACAACGTCCAGTCTTTGCTAGTTGTCAGGGTTATAAAGACACTAGTGAAGGAATTTACTGCCACATAGTAATTAACGGATAGACAGCAGTCTGATAAAATTTGGGTGTGGCTAATCAGAAGGCACCAGTACACGGCCTAAATTCTGATCAAATGCCTTGTATCTACTGCTTAGATTCTTGAGAGATGTTCCAATTCATCTTCTCTCTCTTTTTTTTTTAATTAGTACTGGGGATTGAACTCACAACTGCCTGCTTGCAAGGCAGGTGCTTATGCTGCTGAGCTAAATTCCTACCCCCAATTCATCTTCAACAGCTAAGAGTCTTTATTTCCCAGGGTCCCCTCCGCTTACGATGAGGGCTCTCAGGAGTTCTTCATCAGGGTGAGAGGCAAATCCGCAGGCATAGAGGAATCTTTCCTGGAGGACAACACTGCTGTCACTTTTGAAGTCCAAAAAGTCCAAAATGGCTTCTAAGGAGGCTGGAGTCTGAGCGGAGGTGACAGCGTCCACGAGCTGCGGGCTGTAAGAAGGGCACAGTCATCAGCACCAGGGCACAGGCCTTGGGGATGTTCAGACACACCATGCCGCCCAGCCTCTCCACTGGGCTGGGTTTCCTGGGGAAGTGATTTTTTAAAAAAAATTGAATGACCACCACAAAGACAAATAAGACTTTCTGAAAAGACTCACTCCCTATTTTATTTAAAACTCTTTTAACTTTTCTCTCTCTAATTTAAACAATGTATAATCAAAATATAAAAATTAGCTTGACTATATTAATGTAAGCCACATATAATTTGATTTCTGTCAGTTAAAATTATTTATAAATTAGGCTTAAATTCTTCTCTATATGAATAATACACAAAAAGGTATGGCCCCTAAAATTGATTTTTTCTCTAAGATTTTTTTCTCTAATACACATATTTCTCAAATGCATAATTTAATTACAGCAGCTTCATTTGATTAAAATATTATTTTAACTTTATATATATCCAAGGGAGAAGTTTATTCTGGTCTCCTTTCTATGACACCACAGTACATGTATAATACATATGATGCTGTACACTATTGGGCAAATCTTATATAGAAAATAATCCATGGAGCCAAACTCCACTGCAAAGCGGCTCTGAGCAGAATTTAAAATTCATCAGTTCGTTTTCTTGTGAGTCTGTCCCAGGCCTAAGCCCCCTGTCTGGAGATTAGCCGCGGATTCATAGTAGGTGAGCCTCTACGAATGACTGGTTCCAGGTGAGACCTGTAGAGGCCTGTGATGCTGTGATGCCTCAAAGGACAAGAGAAGGGAGCAGCTGAAGAAGCTTGATTCCAACCCCAATCAACTTTCAAGTAAAGCAGCCCATTTGTGGTTAATCACATGGAATTCCTATCAATCTTTTCATATTTTAAAGGTAAGTGAATAACCAACACAATCAAAAGCTTTTCAGAAAAACAGTTAAATTTTCTTCTTCTGTGAAATAAAGTCTTTTGAATCAGACCACCATACCTACTGGAGTATGTACACACATGAGTATAAGTTGGACAATTTCCGTTTTCCCTTATGTTAGTAACTAATTTTTATTGTCTGTCAAATTAAGTGAGCCATAGACTGTATGTAAACTATATGATTAGTTAGAATAATTTATATCCTACAGCTGTTTGTACTCAAGAGAAAAATTCTGTATTCAAAAATCTTCTGTATTTACAAAAAACAAATGAATTTTAGAGCTGAGTCAACTCTCTTCAGCACACATGAAAGTGAATGATAGTTTGACCAAATGTCAGATAACATAAAGATTTCTTTGCTGTAAATTCCTTTGGCTATTTAGCTCAGTTTTTAATTTCCTATATAAAATGGGGCTTCACTAGTGAAATCATTTATCAGTGGAAAGTCCTTCTTTCAGCAGAAATACCTTTTTTGTTTGTTTTCCTCAGTTCTGAAATAGTTTCCAGTGTGAATTAACAGCTTAGGAATACAGTTTTAAACACAATGAGGCAGCCCTTAGTGCAGGTGCCATGGGAAGCCCTGGCCTGGCCTCTCTGGGTACTAATCTGGTATCATCCAAACCTGTAAGCACAGAAATAGTCACTGCTCTTGCATTTCTAGCTCAGTGACCATCCAATGATCACACAAGGCACAACTGTGGATAAATCTTTAAGCAGCAGGACAACTGGCTTGGAGACAGGGAAGCTGGCATTAAAGGAGTCCTTTAATAAGAACAGAACCCAGGGCATTTCCTCATGCAGCCACACACTGCTGGGGGACTTACAGGACATCTTGACTCGTAGTTTTCAGGACCTGCAGGATGTCTTCTCTCTTCGCAGTCCTGAGGTGCTGCACGAAGGCCAGGAAGCTCCTGACAGCCTCGGCCTTGGAGAGGTTGTCTGGCTGCAGGTGTTTCTTGACTGACTGCCAATGCTCTGAGAGCTGCAAAACAAGTCCCAGCTCCTGCTCTCATCTGCTGAGCACCCTCGCTTGTTACTTTTATTTCCCCAGCAATAAATCATCCTCATATGTGACAAGAGAAGCCTTTGTGTCTTAGTTCAATGGGAGTCCTGTCTCTTCTGATGTCTAGGCACCATAGAGAGGCTTGCGGCCCCCAGGACAGTCCTGGGATGGACGAGCACTTCTGCTTGTTAGCTGTTTAAGGGACATCTGGCCTCTGGTAGTCACTGGCTTTACACTTGAGGGAAGGCTTTCACTGCCCTAGGGAAACTATGCAGAAATTTAATTCACAGCAGGATATTTTGAAGGAGAAAAATCAGAACTGCTGAAAAATTGCATCAAGCTTCTAATTTACGTATACCTCCCTGAAAATCAGTTTTATTACAGTTTGAGCCCGAATCCTTTTTATTCCACTGTTAGTACAAAATTCAGTATTTTGCTATTACTGGTGCATGACTTAATCATTGTTTGCATTTGTCTAGTAAAATAGTAATTAGATAAAAATAATTCACATGTACCAGCAATTATTCAACAATAGAAAATAATTTAAAATTAGCAAGTAATTGTAATGAGACTTCTCTTGGTTTTGAAACAAGCTAAAGAACTTATTTTTGATACTGTACTCCTTGTTGCCCAGTTGTGCAGAGCATGTTAAATTACATCAGGGATTTCCTACTGTTACATTCCAATAATCACCATGCCTGCAGGTGTTCCCTCTGGTAAGGCATAAACACTTGTGTTTTCTCTTCTGTGAATCTCCTTAGCTATCTAATCTTAAGAAGACATTCCAGTGCAAAATTCCAGCTCTATTTAGCTTGATATTTACTGAGTCATTTCTGGTGGCAAAAAATACATCAATGTGAATTCAGATCTTCTTACAGAATTGCAAGAGTGACATTATACTTAAATAGAAAAGCAAACTCTCAGTGATGTAAATTCTTCCTGCAATAATTAAGATAAAATTATCAAAAATCTTGGAGGGGTCATAATGTTTAAAACCATTGGGAGAGAAATGAACAGTTCACAGCATAAAAAAAATATGTAGTTTCATTAGTCACTTTCCTAAATAACTTCAGTCTCATTAGAAAAATTATATTAGAACATTGACACTTGGAAGAAAAAGAAAGTTTAAAAATGATGTTTTTAAAAAAAGATGTCTTGTGTATCAAAAGACTTTGCTTTTCCTGTAATGGAACTTGGTAAAGTTTAGAAATTAATAAGGAAGTAATGTCTTGTATTTTAAGCAAATTGTGGTAATGGTTTGTAATTCCACCCATAATGCTCAAGGGAAGAGCACTTTCGAATAGCTTCCCACAGAGCTTGAAGCCAAAGGTTTGTTCTCCTGAAAAGTGGTTAAATATTAGGAAATACCAGGCTCTGATGGTATTTTGTAATCATATGTCACATATGATTGATGAAATCTTTGTTGAAATTACTGCAAGATGCTTGGCATAGTGGCTCACGCCTGTAATCCCAGCACTTGAGAGGCTGAGGCAGGAGGATCATTGTGAGTTTAAGACCAGCCTAGGCAAAGAAGTGAGCTTAAGGCCAGCCTGAACTGCATAGTGAGACCCTATCTCAAAAAGACAGGAAAGAAAGAAAGAAAGAAAGAAAGAAAGAAAGAAAGAAAGAAAGAAACTATTACAAGATGATCTACCTTTGCTTTGTGGGACAGGATATTTTATTTCTGGCTGGAAAGCAGGCTGAAAGGCACACATGGTAGGGAAGAGTGCCCTAATTTAAGCAGAGAATTTGAAATCTTCGTTTAGTCCTCACTGGCAAACCTCAAAACACTAAGATCAGTAAAGCATCCTCCCTATGGACAAATCACTAGTAAGTGGTAAGACTGAAGATTCAGACCCTTGTCCATGCTCTTGGCATAACATACTTCCCTCGCTTCATTAGGCCCTTTGTTCTCCCTGAACTCTAGATGTGACCAAAGGACTGCTCTTGAGTCAGCACATTTTGTACAAGAGACGAGGGTGTGGTAATTTTTGTTACATTATGCTTTGTCAAGAATGCACATTTTGGGGGTTACAATCATCCTAACTTTGGTGGCTGTCAGTTCTTCAGAAACTTTCAGCATAGTATTAGTTGCGTTTTCACTGGAGAGAAAAAGAAAATACAATTTTCAACCACTGTTAGTCCTATATTTGTTCACACTTACGGAAGGACATTCTTTACATGTGCTCTGGAAGACCTGCCCCACCATGGGAATGGCTGTGTACTTCGGATCGACAGCTTTGATGACAGCGGCAACCTGCTTGCCAGGATTCAGTCTGGGGCCTGCTTCAGTCGTCTTCAGCTCTAATTTCTGGCTGCATAACACCAAAGAGAAATAGCACTTCATAAATTTTCTTTTGAGTGAATGACATACTAATTGTCATTTTGATGGCAAAAATTCTACATACTAATATATTCAAGTTGTGTAAGTTCAAGCTTTGGCATCTTCAGAGCTAACTAAAAGCTTTGATATAATTGTGAAGGCTTCCTGAACAATAACTTTATTCAAAGATTTGAAACTTTAAATCTTAGCTTTCAAAATATTACATGAAAATATACGAACGAAAATTTTTCTGGATACTGAACAAGATATGGGGTATCAGCTCTTCTGAATTTAGCCTCGGTTTCTGGAAATGATACTTCAGTGCAAACACATGTCACTAATTAACAAAGACAGGAGAGCTTAATTTACAAAAATTACCTCAATATTATTATTGTCTAACATGTTCTTCCAAACCTTAGTGCTTTGCCTTTAAAAGGTGGGATCTGCATCCCTCTCCTTGGAACTGGACAGGACTCAGTGACTACTCCAAGCAGCAGAGTAGAAATTACCTGCATTTGAGCTTCTTAGCTCAAGCACCAGACACATGAAGGGCAACCTTTGAACAATTCCACCCTGGCCAATGACCGCAGCTGCTTAGCAGACATGAGCCAAAGCCAAGTTGGACATGAGAAACAATAGTACAGTGAGTGTTGTATTTTATATCCCTGAATTGGAGCAATTTGCAGTACAGAGGTAGAAACCTAATAGACTTGATGAGTAATTAAAATTTTATTTGTTATAAAAATATATGAAAACAATATGTACTGTGAAGTACAGTACAAAATTCTACTCCAGATGAGTCCTCAATAAAATTTCAAGTTTTTTTTTTTCCTTTTTATCGGTACCGGGGATCGAACTCACGACTGCCTGCTTGCAAGGCAGGCGCTTATGCCGCTGAGCTAAAAACCTCCAGCCCCAAATTTCAAGTTTTTATATTTTGAAGAACTTCTCTCATATTTGTGCATTCATTTGGTTCTGACGCTAGGACAACTTCACAGGAAATTTTGAGGAAGAAGTAGCATAAGATATAATACATCTAGTGATGAGATGTGTTCTTATAGAATTGAAATCTGAAAAGAAAACAAACTTTTAAATTTAAAATTCCAGTTCTCAATCCTATAGAACTATGCTGAACACAGAAATAGTCTCAAGTTGGCTCAACCGACTTAAATACTTAAATGCTATAAATAGCATTATCAATTCTGTCATATCTCTTTACTATGGAACATTTATTTTTCTCAACAATAATTTTAAAAACTTCCCAAGGAGAGGAAATGCATATCCCACCACATCTTAACCTTACTATTAAAAACATTTGACAGAGAAGTTAGAAAATGAACTGGAATAAATGAAGCAATTGCCTTCTTAAAATTTCAAATCAACAAATAATTGATTTTAATGAAATTTTGTTAAAATGATATTTACCATGTGAAGTATTATCATAAATGACTGAAGAGTATGATAAACAGAATAGTATAGTATACACTACAGTATTTCAAGGAACTCATACTTGAAATGAGAAAGTACTGGGCATGCATGTGCACATGTGCGCACACACACACACACCTATTTACAAATCAGATATAATAGTATGTCAACAAACAGCAAAAAAAGTAAATATTTCAGCAATATCTCACTTTGATACTATTCTTCCTTTTATGCTGTTTAGGAAATTCAGCCCAAAAACGTGGATTTCTTCTGCAACCACAGATAACACAAAGCTGTCTTCTATCTTATAGGTGGTAACAGATGTAGTTTTCGTATTGACACCTAAGACCTAAAAAAAAAAGAATAAATAACTGTCTTTTTAAACAAATGATAAATCAGATATTTAGTTACTGAATTGAGTCAAATAGCAAATTATCTTTCAATCTTCAAGATAGCTTCCTGACCTCCCCCACTCACCGGCCTCTCTCGCAGCACATTTAAGTGGGGGTATCCATTTGACCAGTGTGAAGCTACAATCAGCTACAATTTTTAAATACTTCCAAATTATACCATTGTTTTTTTTTAAACATTTTAAAATAATCTCTACAAAAATGTAATTATTTGAACTCCTCTTAGAGAATAATACCGGTCATACCTGATTTTGGGTTGTAAATCCAGACCTCTCTATTTTGCACGAATCTAAGGCCTTTATTTTGACCACTTTGTCCTGCTGGGCCTGGTAGGTCACTTTACAATTACCAGAGACATCTACCTAAAAAGAAAAGCAAGAACATAATGGGATTCAGCATGAACTATTTGAACTCTATTAGAAAGTAGCTTTGAAATTGAAGTCCCTGTATGGGGATTGCTTCTTCTCCCCAGGGCTGACACAGCAGACAGAACTCCAAGATTCCCAATTGCATATGATTCTTTCTCTTCTTCTTCAGTTTAGTCTTATGGAACTTTCACTTTGTCCCACTTTTCTCTATGCCCAATAACAGCTGGACAAGCAGGCAGGCCATCACTGAAACCTCTGTCAAATGGATGATTATGTGTCAAGGAGTGCTGATTCTTAAGGCTGCATCTACAGTGCATGTGTTCCTTTAATGAGCAAAATATTATTAGAAATTTTTTTAAAACTATAGGATTAACTAAATTTATTATTAGCCACATCAGCAATTTGGGTTTAGGCTACTGTACCCGTACAGACTCTGCTTAGCTTCCCTGAGATTTCCCCTGGGCTCCTACCAGCATCACCCCTGTCTTACTCCAGCAAGCTAACCGACATTAGCTGTCAGATATTTTCATCCATTCATGGGCTGGTTGAAAAAGTTGGCCCCAGGAGTGATAAGGGGAAATCATGCAGTTTTTCTAACTAACTTCATTTCCTGCATTTGCAAAATGAGGGGCATTGATAGAGATTAATGGTTCTCCATATGGATAATGCATCCAAATTATCTGAGAAGATTGTTAAAATATCTATTCTTGAATCAAGGAAATCTACATTTTTCATAAGTTGTCCCCTGGAATGGTGGTGCTCAGTGACGTCCAGAAAGCACTGGGATGATCCCCAGGATTTTCTGCATATCTAACTATTTCTACATGTCCCTAGTATAACTAATTCCAATTCCCTTCTCCATGAATTTAAGTCATAAAACATTGGAGTAAATGGCAATTATCTTATATGTAAATGAGATTTGACCACCCAAATTAACTTTTCTGGGGAATACCATACGAGTGACTCATCTGAAGTTATTTTTTTTTGTTGTTGTTGTTGGTTTTTTTTTTTTTTTTTTTTTTTTTTTTTTTTTTTTTTGATGGTACCAAGGGTCTAACTCATGGCCTTATACTTGTCAGGCAGACACACTGCTGAGTTAAATCCCTCGCTCATCTGGAGTTTTACAAGTAGAAATTCTTATAGCAATTTTGCTAATCCTACTGACCATTACAATGACGAAATCTTAGTAATGTTAGCAAGTACCTCATTGGTGGTTCCAGAGCTTAATTGCATCTGAAACAGGCTGGCCAGACCTCTCTTCAGATTTTCTATGGCCACTGGCTCATTCTGATACGAGTAGAGGTCTTTGACCTGTGGGGAGGGGAAAGAAGGAGAGACACAAATGAAGCCAATATGCCTTAGTTATCAGATTTGGCTAAATACATGGCTGGAAGGACCATATTCTCAGCCCGTTAACTCTGGGAGAACATGACCTGTTACTACAAAACTATCACTTCTTTTTTGTGAAAAGAAACCAAGTATCTAAGACGCTAGATCATCTAGATGTGAAATTTAGGGGGGCTGGTGATGAAGGTTTTGACTGTGATCAGCATTGATAGAAAAAGAAAGAGCCCTGACAAATGCTGAGATTTCTATGAAAATGAGAAGCATTGTCCATAGAAGACAAATTAGGGACATTCTCCTTAAACACAGCTCCTGTTCTTAACCTGTTATCATGCTTAAAAAAGAAACTAACCAGAGTAAAAAATAACAGAAAATAAGAGGGTTCTTAGCAGAAAATCACAACCCTGGAGACTCATGAGTGACTCATGCTCTGAGGGCTCTGACAACAATCAAGTAGCCCAAGTGCTGAGGGGGAAAGCTCCAAGGGGCAACATTGCCCCAGCACTCACCTGGCTTGGACAGGTGCTGGAAGACTAGAGGTTGGGATTTTCACCACAAGTACTGCTTTGAGATTCTGTTTAGAAGGTGGAAAAAGGTTGAAATGCTGAGGAGAGCTATGGTCTGGAAGCAATAATATGTGACTTAGCTTGGCTTTCTCCTTGACATTTCAAGCTCAGAGCCTTTTATCATTTTGATAGGTTTAGCTCATGTATAATATAAAGGACGAAACTACAAAGAGACTTTTCTACATAGTAGCCTGTTGGATTTTACTCTGTATTGACTCTAAACACATCATATAGTTTAGAAATAGAGCAATAGATACATCTTCCTTGTAAAAATTCCCAAGGTCTATGATAATTATAGCTGAGCATTTCTACCAAAATATCTTGAATATTTATATTTATATTCCTTTTCTCTTTCAATATAATTATGATTTTTCAAGTAAAATAAAAAGCTCAGTAATTATGCAATGAATTCAATTAATATCAATATGAATAACCTGGCCTACATAAAAGACTCTCATGTTCTAGAAGAAAGTATTTTGTCTGAATTATCCAAACAAGTGTTTCAAATCTCTATTTTTAACTTCCTTACATCTACCCTGCCTCGTGACGGATTTACTAGACACTTTATTTGGCAATCAATTTTAGCTATCACATTGGACAAACCTATAAACGTCGGAATAGTGTTTTTTGTCCTGGTTAAAAAGGAAATGGAATAATGACCTCAGTGTCTGAAAATCCTTGGGATCATATTCTCATACAGATCACCAGCAATTTCTTAGACCCAAGCGGAGTTCGTGATGTTCTCTATAGTAAACAGGGTCCACTTTCCTTTAGCAGTCATGTCTGTGGCAGACACTTGATGGTAGGCTCTCTGCAGGCAGCATGCCTATCAGGGTTTGTAAACGGGCTATGAGAGCCAGGAGAGTCAGAAGGGCTCCCTGAGGGCGGTGCACGTTGGAGTCATAGCCAGTAACTTTTTGATCTAAGTTTTAGATACTTCAGAAAGCAAATGAGAAAAATGTGATCCTGTCACCATTAGCTTCAATTTCCTTCTAAACTACAGAATATACCTGCTTTAAAAGTTTTGTGTAAAAGTTCAGGATACCCAGTGCTTGGATTTAATCTGGAATCTATAAGTACTCCTGTCAGTGACTCACTTCTATGGTGAAGTTTTGATCTCTAGATTCCTAACAAAATGATATTACAATATTATTTTTTTCCTGGTAGGCTGAAAAATGTAAACTATGAGACACAAAGAAAAATTTTTAAAATTGCTTGTGATTTTTTTGTTTCCCTAGAACTGGAAAACAGACAAGATTTTTATTGTTTTGTATGACTGCTACAGTCAGGACCAGAGTTCAGTTCCTTTAGAGCAGAACAAGTGAGAACCAAAGTGAAGACAGCTCTTGTGTGCATCATAGCTGAGTCAAAATTACTTATAATAATAAATCTGAACTTTGCAGTTCAATCCACGGGCCACTGCAGCAGCAATCTTATTTCATTACTTCACAACAGGAACTGAGTAAGTTTTATTATACTCAAGCCATAGAGCTGATTACTTCATTCAGCAATGGAATGAGTTTGGAACAGCTGAGAGCACACGGCTCTTATCTAGACTCACAGTGCGCAGTCTCCATGGAGCAGCAGTCTGTAACCTGGTTAGAGACAGCTCTAAACACAGGAACCTAGCTTAGAGGTGTTGGTGCCTCTTCTGCTCAGTGTGGAATACGGATGCCTCAGTCAAGCTTGTCTCTTAGGGAGGAAATGTTTCCCTGGATACACTCTCTTCCTTATTTATAGTCTTTACTAAGAGGAGGCAAAATTATATGAAGTAGCCAAACAGCAAAAATAAATAAAAAAGATCCAAGCAAGGAATTACAGTTATTTTATCTTTCATATGTACCCAAGAGTGAGGCTAGGAAATGTCATATTTAGAACAACAGTGAAGAAAAGTCTGAAGTTTTCTAGGTGAGTTTGAAAGACATAACCATCCTGTTCAAGATTCATGTTGTAGGGGCTGGGGATTTAGCTCAGCGGCATAAGCACCTGCCTTGCAAGCAGGCAGTCGTGAGTTCGATCCCTGGTACCGATAAAAATGAAAAAGACCAAAAAAAAAAAAAAAAAAAAAAAGATTCATGTTGTACAGAAGTCATAGTAGAGACTCAGAGAGCAAATCCATGCCTGGAAATAGCCCAAAATGAAGGCCCATTCAGCAGCCACTTGATTAATTTAATCAGCACAGATAGACAAACCAGACTTGGGAATCTGGTAATTCTCTAGTTCATTGGATCAACATTTCAAGCTCAACAAGAATTTATGTTATAATTAGAAATACTTTTCACTTGCCAGTGTTAATCAATTTAATGACATAATTATCACATTTCTAACTTAGTTTGTGATTTGTAGACAACAATAGAGTTCTTTCAAAGAAAAAAGAAAACATGTAATGATATGAACTAAGTAATCTGATGGATTCTCTTTCATAATGTCAATGTGGGAGCTTCAAATGGGAGGGGGAAGAGAAGCCCTCTGGTAATAAAAAGATACGTGTAAATAGGCATCCATGTGACCATACAAAGTTTAAGTAAAACTTAACTTCAGCCTCAGGTAAAATGCTCTCAAAGAAAGCTGCCCTGCAGTAGTTTACCCTGTCTTTGCATAATTCCTGTCACAGTAAGTGGAAATAACAGTTAAAGTGATGATATCACTGACAAGGATGCTGCTGAAAGTTCTACTTGACTTCTCTTTCTTCAAGGTCAAGTTTTCCCAAGGACTTCTTGTACAGTTAAGAGATATGCTGATGTACTTTAACCTGTGGTTACCATAAGTCAGCCCACATCACAGTTCCTCCAGAACTGGCCCCTCAACACCACTGAAATGATGTGGCAGCTCCATCCCAGCCTTTGAACAGAGAGGGCATCGAGTCCTTTCGTATGTGTAAGGAAAGACTTTGTACTCCACTGCCAGCAAAGGAGCTATAAAATGATTTGCTGTCACTAAGATTATAAAGGCAATTAATATTTAATGGACTCAAGTGTCTTGCCACATTGCAAGCCCAGACCAACAATATACGTGTTTCATATTGTTAACGAAGTTCAGCCATATGCAAATCAAATAAATGAATTTAGACGGTAAAGAATGAAATAAGGAACACACGGGTCAACCAAAGGCAGCACTTTCTCCAAGTACTTTCCAGGTAGAGCACAGTAACACACTAAGCAGAGACTCTGTTTCAAATGCCAGTTTTTCTACTTGCTGGTTATGTGACCCTAGACAGGTTGCTTAAAGTCTCTTCACCCTGTTCCTCATCTACCACAAGCACTAGCTTCCTAAGGTTACTCCTGGAAGAGGAGAATAACACAGATAAATTCTTCAGTCGGCGTCTGACACACAGTAAGCACCCAATGCATTTTAGCTACGATTAAGTAAACAATGAGCAAACTCTCTCTGAAGCGCTGACTTGTTTTAGCCTTAGATAACTCCATCAGCTCCTCCCTTATTTTCATCAGCCCCCAGATGTAGGGCCCAATACTTGGCAGAATATGTTTGTTTCTCAGTTACAAACATATTAAGATCATTTAAAATAAGCTGGGCTTACACCATAAATAATACAGAATTACAAAATATTCTGATAATATTTCCAATGAGATGACAGTGTTCATTTATTTCTTTGATATATTAAGTGCATTTCATGTCATAGTTCAAAGAATCTGTGATTTTTAAAAAGTGCACCCTACCGCAGATACACTATGCCTTTCTAAAGCTTGAACTACATACTTCAGCCAGGGCTCAGTATCCTCATCAGAATTTAAAGTTAACCTAATCTAATTTATTGTTGCATTGTAATTTGTCTGTATTCCTGAATTTATCTAATCCATCTGACTAGCATTTAATCCAACTTACCCACCATACTATGATGACTTTCTCTGTTACAATGTCTTAGTAACCCTTCCTAATTTAATAAAGATTCACTTTTTAAATTATGCCTCTCATCAATAAAGAAATACTTGATTTTACTACAAAGATTTTTACAAAAATACAAAACAAATTGGCTAGAAAATATAAAAGAGATTTACTGTGGAAACATTTAAATTTCAACTTCTGCTTATTAATTCTTGAAATAATTCCATTTACCATGAAGTCAGTGAAAACACTATATTACTTTAAAAATAACATGTATACAGGAGAGAAGAAAAGCAGGGAGCTGGAGCAAAGACCCGCCCCATCCTTTACCTTTCCACGGATTAGATGAAGGAGCATGGGTCTTTGCAGAGCCTCTACATTTTCCTTGCCTAGGATTTTAGGAGACTTTTTTCCCTTGAAGATGCTCTTCTCTCCTCGCTGTTGATTCACATCTTCAACTTTTACATCTGTCATCTACAGTCATGAAGAGAAGCCAATTAGAAAAACTTCTTGTGTCTGTCTCCATCAGTTTCTTAGAAAATAAAATGGTAAAGAAATACACCAACTGAGATGATCACGTTTCTATCTATGTTCATAGGACTTTGCCATTCCCTTTACAAGAATGGAGGTGACATTTAAAAATTAGATTTTTTAACTATGCAAAAATACCATACTTAAAGAACTCTGTGACTTTGGGTCAATAATGGCCCACTTTAAGACGGTTCTTTGATGTTACTCTTGAACAAGTGCTTTTTGCCTGCTAGCTTCACCTTCTGTACTGTAGTATTTGTCTGAATGGACTTCTGTTCTATTGAACTGCACCTGTGACACTGAAACTAAATGGTGTCGTTATTAAGAAAAGCTGTAGAAAACGTTTTCTGCAGAGTAGTTTAATGTTCTGTTGAGAAAAGCCTCAGAGCAGTGGATGATGATGACTGAATCCAACTTGGGAAAAAAATTTGGAGATACCTAAGAAACAAAGATCACTTGTAATATTTTGCAGTGAACCTCATTAAAAAGAACAGCAGCAAGTTGGGTATGGTAGTGCATGCCTGTAATAGCAGCATGCAGAGGTTGAGTAGTAGGCTTAGGGTGAGTTCTGGGCCAGCCTGGGCTATGTAGTGTCTCAAACAAAACAAAACATATAGTGAAAGTACTTGTTCCAAGTTCTTGGTCTGGTGCAGCTGTGTCATGCTGACATAAGGAATAATAACTTACTGTGCTACAGGAATCTATTGCCTTTAGGTTCTTGAGAAACAAACATGGAATCATCATATGTAAAAGTGGAAAATCCCTATAGATAATCTAATTGGGCTCTATTCCTAATACATGTGTCTATACCATCACAGCTGACCAAACACTGCTGTCAAGGGGAGCACCTGGCTCCTCCTCAGGAAGGATACAGAATAGGTCCAACCTGTCCTTGATAACTCCCTGCTCAATCAAGGAACTCCAAATTTAGCTCTGCTGTCAGTTACAGTGTATCAACTGTTTCTAGCAGATCATGGAGTGCAGATCCTTCCCTCTCCACACATTCTGAGTAGATTCCTGTTTAATGTCCCCATGATCATTACACATGGAACAGGACATTGCACTCCAGCTACTCCCCAACATGTACCATCTACCTTCCTGCTTTGACAGCTTGGAAAATTCAGAACACTTCTGATTAGCAGAAACTTCAAAATTGCGGGTCTGGTACTTACAATTTTATATCAAAATATAACCAAATGATTCTTTAAACAAGTGTGTCACATTTCTCAGAGACTTTGCTGACATCCGACCCCACGTGGGGCTTTGCTGTCATTCTTGCTGTTGGAAGCGGATGCCCACCTTGATTTGGACCAGCTGGTCGTCATCGCCATCAGGGTTCCTCCACAGCAAGACAGCGTCCACGTTGGATGAAATGCGGTAGCCCACACTCTCTTGGGGTTTTCCTTTGCCCTCATCAAGAAGAACTTCTGTGGAGTATGTGAGCCTATATATCCGATCATTATTTAGTGAAAGGCCAGTGGTGTGACCTGCACAATGACAGGGACACAGTCAGGTTTTAACCGGAGGACATCTGTCAGGTTGGGGCACACAGTGTCTTCACCAGCGCCTTTCTTAGCAGGTGTCAAGGGGCTACTGATGTGAAGATAGTGTGAAATGGATAGCTTGAGAAACGTAAGTAAACTAATGAACCAGCAAAAGAAGAAGCCATCGTTTCAGAAACCCTTAGCGTGCCTGTCTCATCACTATTAGGTCATCCAATATTGCTTTGGTTGAACAGTAGGATGTTTTGAAAAAGAAATGCCACTGCTTTACACTGCTTTCCTTTGGTGGTGCAGGGGATTGAGCCTAAAACTCCCACTGAGCCGCAACTCCAGCCCTTTTTATAAGCAGTTTTATTTTGAGGCAGTGTCTCACTATGTTGCCCAGGTTGGGCTTGAATTTGTGACCCTTCTGCCTTGTCCTTCTGGAGTGTTGAGATTACAGGTGTGTGCTGCCGTCCCTGGCTGTGTAGCTAGCTTTTAATTATGTGAATGAGATGAGTTCAAGTAGAGGTCCTGCCAGGAATTGTTTTATAAATTTAACAAGGAACATTGGTAATTCCTAAGAATTTTGTAGTCAGCATATTTTTAAAGCCAACAGCTGGATACCAACACAGTTCTAGAGGTTAGATGACAGTTCTCTAATTTGATATTTAAGGAAAACTCCCCTGTGTAATTTACTCTATTAATTTAACCAAACTTCTAGTACAAAAGTACATTTCAGGGCTATCTACAGGTAAATTTAAATTAGCTGTGACTGAATAAGATGATGTTTTACTGCATAAGATCTCAGCACAGGCATAAATCTGTCCAAGCCAGTTTAACACCAAATGGGACACAAGTCCGTAATGTGAGCCAAAAAATTTGACATTTGGGCATGTTCACACAGCTCCAATTTCAGTTCAATTTATCCCAAGAAACTAAAGAAGTAGAACTGAGCCTTTTCCCGGAACTGACTGGAAGTTTATGGTCATGCAAACTCTTTGCCTGTGCTGTCTACACATGGCTCTCAGGGGGACGGGGGTCAAGAAAGACTTAGCACACACATCTTGTCCCTGGCTTAAGGAGGCTGCTTTATCCAGGAGGTCAACCACTGCAAGCAGCCTAGACTAGCTCTCTTCTTTCAGGAACTGTGCATATGAAAAGAGAATCAAGGAGGCCATTAGGGTAACTAATTTAAAAGTTGGGGGGGGACCACTTCGAAGGCAAAACATCTGAAAAGTCCCTACTATCTACACTGCAACAAACTGTACCACAAGCTCTGCCCGTAGCTAAAGCACCCACTGTTTGGAGGAAAAGTATGGTCAAACAATATCATCTCTGCGTTATTTGACACTCAAAAACCCAACAAGGTAGGGAGTGTTTTTACTCATTTCATAAGGAAATGGAGGTGTGCAGAAATTTACAATTTTCCAGGCTCTCAAAGTCATTAGTGGTGGAAATATGATTTGGACCTAGGCCTAGAAACAACTGACACTGTACACTTGCCAAGTCTTAGATTGAATTCTTTTTCATTCCTAGGAAATGAAGTAGGAACTCATTTAGTTCTCAACAAGATGTGCTGAGTAACTATTGCACTTGGTGGCAGGCTACTTTACAGACGTAGGCTAAAACCACTTGGCCAGAGGACAAAATTTATTCCCTCAGGAAGGTTACATTTAAGTGAGATGATGGTGGGCAATAAAAATATCAGCAAATTATACAGCATACTAGAATGCTAATGAAGAAAATAGAACTGGGAGAGACAGTAGGGCTCTGAGGGAAGGGCTCCCATGAGGAGGTGACAGTTTAGGGGGCCACCTAGACCCCTGCCGTGAGAGCATCCAGAAGGTGTAGGTGGAGAGAGCGAAAGCATAGCACCACGTCATGCAACCTGAGGTCGGAGAATCAGAAGGGGCTTTGGAAGAGCTCTGCAGGAAGGAAGTCCCTGGTCCTCCAGGTCCCCCTCTCCACCCACATACAGTCTGGCTGGGGTTCTGCAGCAAGTACAAACACTGGCTTTTTGGCTGGGAAAGATTTTTGGCAGGAGAGGCCTTTTTCACAACATCTATAAAATTTCCCATGGGGCGTAAAGGAAATGTCTGTTGTATTCAGCAGCCTTCACAGCAGTTCTGAAAGGGGAGCAGCAAAGGACAGCTGGCAGAAGCTGATTCCACGTCCAACCCAACAAGGCAGATATAAAGTTGAATCTGATATTTAAATTTACTGAAATTCAAGCTGTGGACTACGTGAAAGTGGCTTTTGTTTAAAATAACTATGAAAATTTTGCAGGATGGTGGTCAAATTTCAAAGCTTTCAAAATTTTTTTGTTGTTAATTTTTTCATACTGTTACTCTATAGGTCAAAAGAGTATGAAAAGGAACACACAAAAAATGAGTTCTTGACTAGAACTTGGAAGTGATAAACCATGGGGCCGAAAGGGTCTAGTTCTTCAGAAACTTTTTCCTTCTTAGTTTTACAAACTTAACACGCAGTATTTAGCCTGATTCCCAAAAGCCTAAAGTGGTTCACATAGCAGTGTGTGATGGGGCTGTCCCTGGTATCCCTCTCCTTTGGTATTTCTCTGCTCCTGTTATTTAAGGAGCTCACAACACTGGGCACATGTTCCATTTCACTATTGACTGAGTCTCCTTTTTAGGATAACGCTCTCCAGACTGCAGTGGTTTGGGTTCTTTTTGAGACGTAGGAGAACCAATATTATATGACATCGAAAGGGAAATTAATTTTATTTAAAAAAGAATCAGAGCCGGGTGGCTCAGTGGCCCATTCCTGTAATTCCGGCACTCGGGAGGCTAAGTTAAGAGGATCATTTTGAGTTTGAGGCCAGCCTGGGCTACATAGTGAGCTCAAGGCCAGCCTGGGCTACACAGTAAGATCCTGTCTCAAAAAGACAAAAATAAACAATAAGTCAAAACACCTTCACTTTGTCCTTTCAAGTGTATTTAGAACTTTAAGTGACTGAGAAACAGTGAATGTGTAGTTCTGAATGCTTTAGAAATGCGTGAAGAGGACTGGGGATTTAGCTCAGTGGCATAAGTCCTGCCTGGCAAGGTTGTGAGTTTGATCCCTGGTACAGAAAAAGAGAGAGAGAGGGAAGGGGGGGGGAGAGAGACATAGAGAAATGTCTGACAATAGTGTGCATACAACCGCACTGCTGAGAGGCTTAAGCAAAAAGACACAGCAGAGGGCCTCCAGGGTACAGGGCTGGGAGGCATGCCACGGTGATAAAAAGGAAAGCAACAGAGATTAAGAACCCAGCTTAGAATTTCAGAGGTAAGAGGTAGGGGACTGGTCATGGAAATAGCTAAAAAAATAAAGAGATTCAGGGACTAAGGCTGGAAGTGAAGGAGCCATGGGCTACTCAAGGGCAGAGGTGACAAAGCTGATGGAAATGAAGGCCTTAGGTCTAGGAAAACCTGCATGCAGCCCTAAGGACTGACTCACCATGACAACTAACAAAAAGTAGGGCAGACTTCTCTTCCAAATGTTCATATAAACCCTGTTCCACACTCATCTTCATGCTAAGCCCTCCTCCCATGCCACATTCCCACCCAGGTCTTAGGATTTCCTAGACAGTTGCACTGGTAATTTAAATTAGATGCTTGGAAACCCAAAATTTAGAATGATCCCATTTTAAGGTAGATTTTTTGCATGTAATTTGCTAGTTAAATATCAATCATATAAGAGCCAAGAATCTATCATAGAATCATGCTGCTGTGATATCAAATGCTATTCCATCCAGAGCAAACTGTCTTACACTATTTATCCGTAATATTTAGCACAAGGAACTTAAACTAGGAAGCTTATGCTTTGGGGTCCCTCACTGGCCCAGAGTACTTCCAAACAAGACACTGGAAGAGGACACCACAATATATTCATACATCTCAAGGTTGTATCAGTAACCCTTGGAAATGTAAGATTTTTTGTGATTTTCTTTAAGAGACAGCTTCCAAATCATAAGAGTTTTAGGTTCCAGAAATTGGGATTTGCCCTGAGCTTGTATACAAGTTTACCGGGTTCTAAGCACATTTTTGCTATGTGGCACTGTGTGTGTGTGTGTGTGTGTGTGTGTGTGTGTGTGTGTGTGTTTAAAGGCTTTATAAGCATATTTGCAAAAAAAAAAAAAGAAAGTATTATTTCTTTAGAGCATGATTTGCTTAGGTGAAGTAATTTAAATTCAGTCTTCTGTTCATTATTTCAATAATAAAATTTCCCCTTTCTCATGTAGATATTTTTCATACAAAAAAATTTGAGACAAATTTTATTTTATGATCGAAAGCCACATTTCCCCAAAGCAGGCTTTAAGTTTAAAGTGCATTATTTTATATCAATTGCTTAGAATTTTAAAATCTGGACCCTATCATGCTAAATTGTTTGTATGATCCATGGTTTTAAAAGTGTGTCTTAAGAAAGTCCAAATGTAATAATTTTATACAGGGCAACATCCAATGACTTTATAATCTAGATGATTCAAGGTAAGATTCCATATCAATACACTTAATACACCTCTCAAAAATAACTCCTCATAAAATATGAGTTTTTTCCTACTTTGTGGGGTGGTATCAATTCATATATTTCTAAAGTCATTTCATCTTAACATGGAAACTGTTACTAAAAATCCTATTTTTCAAAGATAATGTCTTATTCTTCTTGTATGCCGTGTAGTTTTAGTTTTCTTTAATTCATCACCCAGGGTTATTCTGTCACTTTTGAATGGTAATAGAATTCAATGCATTTCATTCATAATTCTTTAGAAATTTAAATGCCTTTTTTTATTGGGTCTGATTCTTGATGTCACATTGCTAAGCAACGAGAAAGACATTTAAGAACTGGTATTTTTCGATCCTCTTTTACAATTCAAATGAAGAGTTGCATTCAGCATGACCAACTGCAGCAGGTAACAAGGGCTGGCATCTTTCTCCCCGTTTTAAACATAGGCCATCAAAGAAAAACTGAAGCAAGAAACCCTGGTTTGAGGATCTGAAATGAAAAGGAACTTCTATTTTCATAAAACAGAGGTGGAAATTTGAAGTTGGTTTTCATTTCAACATGGTCATGCTTTCACAAACATTCCAAAGTTACATGGTTTTGAAGAAGGTTTAGTTAGAAGTCACACACACGTACTCAAACACTTCCTTTGAAAGTCTGAAGTTAAAGTTAAGCAAAAAGCAAGAAAAACTCACCTTTCACAGACGCTGAGTAGGAGGAGATGAAGCAGAGGAAGAGCACAGCCAGGAGGATCATGCTGAGCGGCTGCTGCACCCGCCGCTCGGTGCCAGCTGAGGGGCCTCTTTCTACACGGGAGACAAGGGAGTGAGCCTGGGGCACCTGCGACGGGGATGTTTATCTCTGGGGAAAGGTCAGATTCCAAATTCCAAAATCAGGAAGAGCTCCTTATTAATGATTAAACACAGGTGGGCTCTGGCTTTCAGTCTCTAATTTTTTTCTTTTTGCTCAAGAAGAAAATCAAGAAAGTTTTCAATTTTGAGAGCTAAGTAGCTTACCTGCCTATAACGGCAGAAGTACTGGAGGATATTCCAAGAGGACTGGTGGGGACATACTTCTCACTGCCATCATCCTCCTGGCACCACTAACTGCCTCTCTTTACATTCAGCCTCTCTGTGTGAGAGGGTGGCAGAGATTCTCACACTCAGCTAACCCTAATTGAATTTTAATAAGCCTTGTATATTCCTTTTGGAATTTGGTACTCTACTTGCACGTTGTTACAAAAGAAGCACTCTAAATTTTAGACTGTAAGTAGAAACTAAGTCATGTCACCATTGAGTACTTTAAAATAATACTAAAGTGATTAGAACTATTGTAGAGGACGCTTCTCCTGTGGGAAACTGTAAGACATCCACCACGTCTGATGGGTCCAGGCTGTGGACAAACTGAGGAGCAGGCACCTAATGGCCTCTGCAGGTCCTGGTGACAAGAGGTGCTTGTCTGGGCCTACAGCCTTGAGGACCGACTCCTGCGCCTTCTGAATTCCACTGGCTGAAGCCACATCTGGGAGCCAACCATTGTCCCTGGAACTGAAGAGAGACCAGATAGAAACAAAACCCAGGGGACTGAGGATTTAGCTCAGCAGGCCGGCGGTCGTGAGTTTGATCCCCGGTACCGATAAAAATGAAAAAGACCAGGGGCTGGGGATTTAGCTCAGCGGCATAAGCGCCTGCCTTGCAAGCAAGCAGTCGTGAGTTCGATCCCTGGTACCGATAAAAACGAAAGAAAAAAAACAAAACCCAGAAAATGCCCTGGGGAGATGGGATGTGGAGCTGTTTCCGAAAAGAAAGAGAAAGGTTGATTGACTGTATTTGAAAATACTTTGGGCCATGTTTCAGTATAAACTGGGCTCTTAAATTTACCTTAGTTTCCCTCAAAATCCTTTTTAAGTGTCCTGACCTAGACATTAAACTTTATTTTTTTACTTTTGGGTAATAATCCAATACTGCTTTTTATCTCTGTTTTAATTTTTAAAATTTTTATTTTAAAGAGAATAAAACCAAGCAAAACAAAACAGAAAAAAAAGCCAATCAAAACAAACCAGTGTTACACACTTCAAAACAGTAGGAAATCAAGAATGGTTACGGTAATGCCTCCCATTGTCTTCAAATAGTTGCAGAAACTTTCAGACACAAAACAGATCAGGATAGAACTAATAAAAACAAAACAATGAATGCAATAAAGGACTTCAAAACACAGTAACAGCAAATTCAAAATGGCTACCATAATATATGTTGTTATCTTTTAAATACCTGCCTATGCTATTGGATATAATAAAATCAAACAAAGCAAAACAGAACAAAACCCAACCCAACAGAACAATAAAATGATACAGGACTTCAAAACAAGACAATAGAGAGAATCAATAATGGCCACTACCCTCAGAAGGAGATCCCCATAGATGCTATACTGCGTATTGCCATCCTCTGAATAGATGATCAGACCACCAGTTTTAGACCTACAAAGTCAGCGAAACACTGAACATTACAAGGATTAAATTGTATTCTACCAAACAGCCATCATCACAGTCTGTGTTTCTCCAGATGAGCCAATCACTTAAGGCGGGAGGGGATCAGGAGTTGGGGTTGGCTCTTCTTGTTTCCTAGCCCTAGTGCCAGAAGGGTCTGGCAGCCGGCTCACCCCCAGCAGCGTGCATATGGCGCTGATTTGCAGGAAGGGCTTGCTTCTTGGTGACTTCTTATTCTCTTCCCCTGTAGTCCACAAATGGTGCTCTTTTACTTCTTGATCACTTTGTCTCTTCTTCCCCTTCTTGTCTTCTCATCCTTCCCCATCCCGAGGCCTACAGAATGAAATTTATAAGTAAAAGTGTCCAAAGTTAAGCATATTTTCTTTTAAAATATCTTTTCTTTTTTTCTTTTTTTTTTTATCGGTACCGGGGGATTGAACTCACGACCGCCTGCTTTCAAGGCAGGTTCTTATGCCACTGAGCTAAATCCCCCGCCCCTTTAAAATATATTTTCATATAAAGAATTGAAGTCAGAATTACAAAGTTAGGCATATTTCCTCTTGAAATAACATTTTCATATAAAAAATTAAAGTAAAAATTATTTATGTTCTACTGGGAGTGGAATTTCATTCACTATCATCAGTTATATACAAATCATGACTAAAGTAGCTAACAAAATTTGTTAGATTAGGAGTGTCACATTAAAGTATAATGACTGCTGGGCATGGCGGTGCATCCTGTAACCCCAGCACTCAGGAAGTTGAGGCAGGATGATTGCTGCAAGTTTGAGGCTATTGTAGGCTACACAAGTTTGTACTACATAGCATGACTAAAACCAAAACCAAAAAGGAAAGAAAAAAGTCATAATTCCTAAGCTTTTCTAACATTTAACAAAAATTCTTAGAAAAAGAGCTCTGTTGAAAGAATATAAGGATTTATGGATAAGAGGGATTATAAATACAAGGTGATGTGAAAGTGCTTTTTCATTTAGACAGACTTCTAATTGTTCCCACATTTAGAAATTACATTTAGTTCTCTAAGTAATTACATACATAAGGATAAGAAATCATTATACCTACTTATACTTCACTTACCCAGCCTTTAAAATTAAGCACTAGTTTGCATATTAATTAATTCTATATGAACTGTCATCAGATGCTCATTGGAGAAGGGTACTGAAACACATTTTCTGACATGGGGGTTGACAGCAGGGCCTTTGCACAGTAAGCCACATCCCCAGCCTTTGTCTTTCTTCTTTTCTTTTCTGCCTTTTTAAAAAAAACTATTTTGAGCAAGGTTTAAGTTGCTAAACTGCCCAGGATGGGCTAGACTTTCGATTCTCTTGCTTCAGCGTCCTAGAGTACCAGCTTGCACCACCACACCCATACATTCATAGGCTTGCAATTTGTGGTGTACGACACCTCCCTGGGTAAAGTACTACTTGTTGTCAGGTATGTGCCATAGTCCAACCAATAGGGGCATATCGCTCTTGCCTAATACAACAAGTGTGATTTCATTGGAGCATGTGATTTTCACTAGGAAGACTGAGTTCCTGTATGAAGTAGTCATTCAGAATAATTATGTTTAAATAAGACTCTTTCTATTGACTATTATAGTGGCACTCTTTTTTATTTTGCTTAAAATTTTTTCTTTTTTACAAAGACACCTGAAAAAAGACTTCTTAGGTTGTTTCTCTAAATAGAGTAAGAATGCCAAAACCAAAGTGCTCCCCTCCTGCTCTGAGGACCATCTGGGGGAGGCCTCTGAAGACAGGACAGCTACTTTAGTGGCATGGAGACAAGGCAGAAGCACAGTGTAAAAGTCCTCCATGGAACAATTCCTATGCAGATTACACTATTTTAAATGTTTTACATTTTTATAGTGTAATGTCCCGATAATCATCTTACATAAAACAGGCTCAGATTAATTCATCAAAGTTATTTGGAGAATATAGAAAAATAAACCTTAAAATCTTGGTCTGAATATTCTTTGCTTAAAAACACTAAAGGTGGGAAGTGGGAAAATTAACTTATACATGACATGAAATTGTCATTAATAATTTAGTAAGCCTATCACAATTTTATATGGAAACTAAAGGAGCCTTGATTTTTATGGTTAGATGTCCCAGCCAACAAAAGGGGAGAAAATTGATTTGTGCCAGTTAGAGTGAAAATCAAAGAATATGTTTCAAAACCATGCTTTTGGCATGAAATTCCTTTGATGGGACATGACACTGAAGTATTTTCAGTACTGTAAGTTTGTCTTAATAAATAAGGGCACTATGAAATAAAGATAGATGCTAATTCCAAAGTACAGTCATGTTTCTTTTGCGTATCATAGGTTGTTAACAGGAGTCAAATTATTTTTCTAGATTAGAAAGATCAATGAACTTTACCCTACTTAAGATTTAAAGGAAATGTATTACTTTGCTAGACACAGCTACAGGAAGTCTGTACGTACAATTAAATGAGAAGAAAAGGTCTATGTATATCATCAGAGAATTTCAGTTTTTTCTTAGAAAGAGGCATGACATAGTCTAAAGGATTTTTGTTCTTGTTTTAAGAAGTATACTGTAAATTATTCCTAACAGGTCATAATAGTTTGAAATCTAATAGTATTTTCAGTTCAAAAAGGGACTAGCATTTTGAAGGACTCCTATTAGAGTAAGAATATCTTTATAATGTAATGATCTCTTTCATATCAACATAAAACCCTAAAACACTACATGCACTGCTATTTTAGCAGGCATTCTAGAATTCTCATTGAGAAAATAGACTCATTAAAGTCTTTACTTCACAAAAGTAAGTGATCTGGGAATGGGGGTACACCCTTGCAGTTCCAGAGACTCGGGAGGCTAAAGAAGGAGGTGCACAAATCCAAGCTCAAGCTCATAAACTCACTTGGTCAGCTTGGTGAGACCCCGCCTCCAGATTCAAACATAAAAGGGGCTGGGATGCTGCTCGGTGGTGGAGCCTGGGGTTCACAATCAGTTTCTCTTTCTGTCTGTCTGTCTGTCTCTGTTACATATGTGTACACACACAGTAGACAAATTTAGGTATAAGATATTTGCAATCTCAGCTGTAAACAAAGTTATTTTTTTCAAAATGGATTTATTACACACATTTTATTCTCTCATTTATATACACACACACATACTTTTGACAAAAAACCCTTTTGCATTATGTTAGTCAACCTAAGAGGATTTTAACTTAATTATTATCTTTTTTTTTTTTTTGTCTTTCTCATTTTTATCCGTACCAGGGATCAAACTAACGACTGCCTGCGTGCAAGGCAGGCGCTTATGCTGCTAAGCTAAATCCCCAGTCCCCGTTAATTATTATCTTTAGCCACTTAAAACTGAGTTGCTAGCACTTAAAGGAGAGAATTGATGGAAACTTTTTCAGAATGGTACTATAAAAATAAAATTTTAAATTTGATCAAAATAATTTTATTGAGTTTTTATCGAAAGAAACTTTAGCACCCCAAATAAAATATTAAATATAAATAGTTTTCTTTTAAAATTGTGTGTATAATACAGACTAATGAACTAATAATAAACATATACTCTTGTTTCCCTGAAAATAAGGCCTATAGGGAAAGCAAGTTGTAACACGATTTTAGAGGCAACAGCCCTTGAAAATACACACTATTTGCATCTTCACATTTTACTCTGAAATGTGCGATATGGTTTATTTTCAGAGGATGTCTCTTCTAAAATTATGCGACAACTTGTTTTCTGGGTAGGTCTTATTTTCAGGGCAACAGTGAAGATACAAAAATGTTATTTGAAGTAGAACCAGAAACCAAATGGTTTTCAGTATCCAAGAAAATAAGAAGACACAAAATATTAAAGAGAATTCAAGAGACATACAGGTTAGAATACAGTGGGGTGAAGGCAATATTATGAGGAAACAATTGGAAGAGTGTTTCAGAAATGCTAAAAATGCTGATTTAGTTATGTGTAGCAGGATAAGAAGTTACTGCAAATTAGTGACTTACCACAGTGAACTTATTCTCCTACGAGGCTGGAAATCAGACTTCTAAGAATGGTGCCACTCATTCACGTTGACTTTTATCTACTTTTGAAGACCTACAATGTCTCCAATGTTTTGGTTTTGTCGGTTTTATTCTTTACTGTTTTGTTCAATTGTATTATAACTAACGATATAGGCAATTCTATTAGAGATAGCGGGAGGCATTATGGTAACCATTGTTGATCACCTTGTATTATGTTTTCACATTATCTATTATGTCCACCCTTTTGACTTGACCGATTCTGTTCTGTTATGTCACACTTGGTTTTACTCTCTTCCAAAAAAGTAATAAGAACCGTGGGAGCAATGAAACCCAAATTGTACAAAAGAGAGGAAAAGAAAGTGCTCTAACTGCATGTATATTTAAGTGTATAAGATAGAAAATGATATCACAGAGTTTTATTGGATCATTGAACAGAACTGTTTGCAGTATCATTGATGGAATGTCCACTTTACAAGCTTTAATTTTGTGACTTGAACAATTATTTCTAAGATGACAATATGTAATCCATTAACTAGTGATTTCCTACTGTTCATGTTTTTTTTTCTGCAAATCTGCATAACTTGTACCCTTTCTCTGCTTTTTTTTTCTTTTCTCCTTAAATAAAATTAAAAAAAAAAAAAAAAAAAAAGAATGGTGCCACTGGGCTGAAAGGAAGGTGTTGGCAGGCTTGTTCCTTTCCTTCCCGGAGACTGAGGGAGACTCCTAGGGGAGAATTGGTTTTCTCCTTTCTGGTGTTTAGCAGCTGTCTGCGCTCCTCGAACCGTGTGCACTTTCTCCATCTTCAAAACCTGCAAGAGCGGCTGAGTCCTTCTCACGCTGTATTACCCTGATCACTTCTTTCATTTCCAGTTTATAAACATTTCGGGATATACAGGGCTCACCTGGGTAAGCCAGGATAATCTTTGTATCTTGAGGTACGCTGTTTAGCAACCTGAATTTTATCCATCACCTTAACATAGTTAGGCGCAGGGTCTGGAGATTAAGACAGGGACATCTTTGGGAGGCGATTTTTCTGGCCGCTATGGCTACCAATAGAGAGACTCAGGGATTCATACACTTCAAGCAGGATAATGAAAAGAAACCCACATATAGACACATCATAATGAGAGTGCAGAATATTAAACAGAATATTAAACAGAAAGAGAATATTAAACAGAAAGAATATTAAACAGAAAGAGAAGATATTTAAACAGAAGATATTAAACAGAAAGAGAAGATATTTAAAGTTAGATAGGTAAGACAGACTGCCTAAAAGGAGTAAGAAGTACAGATACTGCTA